GGGGGAGTCAACCTGGGTCCTCTGATAACAATGATGACATCATCCTCATCAAGGGTAGGATCATGAGAAGGATGATTGGTCCAGTCATGGTTGTCCAACAGAAGAACTGTCTGTGAACATCCGTCACCAGGGTTCATAGTAAAGAAAGATTTTGCGTCATAACTTTCTAAATACGTTCGACACTCAAATAAATAGAATGTGTGACACAGCTGTATTTTTGACAGATTTGACAGACGATTGTCAAGACCGCCTTCGGCCCCCCTCAGTGATACACTCAAGCTTTTGCTCCAAAACTACTGGAAACAAAAACTGCTGTTCTCATTAAACAAAGGAAAGGAAATGACAAATGAAATCAGAAATCACCACAAACCTTTAACACACTGTGGGACAAATAAAGGGACACAGTAAATGTAGTAACCTGCCTAGAAATCCAGATAAATCTGGGTGTGGATTTGAAACTGTGAAGTCACTAAATAACACATTAGAACTCAGTGATGGAGGCAGTAGTGAATCAACTGTGGTGTGAATTAGTGTAAATGAGTGTAAAATTCACTGGCAGAGAATGATGAGGTTTTCTGATTTGGTGTCTGATGAGAGTTTCAGGAATTTCTCTATCAGCCTCCGGTCGCTCATCTTTGACAGTCATGTGTAAGTGAAACCGCGTCATTGTCATAAAAATAGAAAATGAGCCGACGTCACACATCACAAACCCTGGGCTGGAACAGAGGAGGAGTGAAGAGCCCGACGTCATCTCTGCTGACAGAAAGTACATCTTCAATTTTACACCGATTACGATTTAGGTCCAAATGCTGAGCAGCATCGTAACCCGTGTCCTCCTCAGAGCTGCAGCTCCAGGCTGCAGGGAGAACTGTCCCGCGGCAAAGAACATGCAGAAGAAAAAAAGGAAGGCAGCGTGAAAAGTTCTTAAAGGAGGCCATTCATTACAGAGAGTGCTGACGCACCAGGAGCACGGCTCAAGTGGAGAGAGTCGCTGAGGAATAGATGTGATCTTCTATTACAGTCTCATCTCTACAATAACCCGCCCTCCGTGAGAGTTACTCTGCCCTCACAGTCATGCCTCTTCGCTCCATCATTGATTAGATTCTCTAATATCACATTTTTATCTTTTTTTTTTATCAGTATGATCAAGAGTCACATGAAAAACCAAACAAAAACAACTCAGCAAGTGGCTCCCACTCCCACAGTGAGCTCTTTAGCATCTTCAGTTAAAGAATATGTTCTAGGCTCTAAAGCTTTCCCCTACCCCCTGGCCCCTTATATCAAAGCCCATGAAAAACCCATCGCTGCCTCCTGTGGTCAGTTTGTATCATTAATGTTAATCTTTTAAACCACAAGCCACAAATGAACCACGTCTGGGACTATAAGATGTTTATTTGAATTAATTATTACGACATTAGCTACAACAGTCCTGGTACAGACACCAGAACTAACGTTAGCTACAACAGTCCTGGTACAGACACCAGAGCTAACGTTAGCTACAACAGTCCTGGTACAGACACCAGAGCTAACGTTAGCTACAACAGTCCTGGTACAGACCAACATTGTATCCAGCCCACAATAGACGAGAAGACAGGGTTCGATAAAAGTCTAATTGTAAATGTAATTGTACTGTGAGTTTGTAGTAATCTGTTTCTGTAGTAGACAGAGAAAAATGTACAGAGAAAAAGAGATGAAAATAAACAATTTTAGCTACATCTGTACAGTATTACTGTACACTGAGTTGGTCCTCCACCAAATTCATTTAAATTAAAAACTTTAATTACTACTATTTGAAAAAAAAAAAAAACTACTAAAAGAATTGATCTTTTTTAGGTTATATCCTACAACTAAAATAACTCCTGTTGTTAATCATTGATTTTCTCTGTGGGCCTTGGTGAGTGACAGTGAGCGTCAGTCTGACAGTAGGATACAGCTCTTCTAAAAGTCACTGTATAATCATTTTTATTAGGCTGGTGTTTTCTGTAGTTTGTTTTTTTCTTATCAGTATACTGATGCCGTGAAAATGATTTCAACAGCTACCATCTGATGCAGGACAAAATGTTTCTCCATGACAGCGTTTTATAGGTTTCATCATTATTTATCCTCCTCTGCTGTGTGGTTTTTCACAGATTGACTCGCCCACATCTCACCTCTCCTCTTCTAATGGACCAGGCTCCTCCATTATCACGATGATGATTGTCATAATGACGATGACAGGTTTTTTGTTTGTTTGTTTGTGTTCAGAAGCGTATGGTGGAAAAGTTGAAGAAAAAAAACATGGACGTGTGAAGAATGAGTCGGGTTAGATCATGAGAGCAAGATCGTCTCGGAGGCCTTTCCTGTTTGTGTGTGTGTGTGTGTGTGTGTGTGTGTGTGTGTGTTTGTGCAGCACCATCAGCCGTTCCTTATCACATTTCACTGTGGTTAATAATGGAAACCACTGTCGATTCAAGTCTGATGCTACTGCAATAAGAGGATGATGAAGATGATAATGATGATGAAGATAAGGTTGATGATGATGAAGATAATGTTGATGATGAGGACGATAAGGTTGATGATGATGAGAAGGATGAAGATAAGGTTGGCGACGGTGATTTTGGTGAAGATTGGTGATTATGAGGAGGAAGTTAGGTTTGGCTATGATGACGATGATGACGTGGATGAAGAAGAAGATATATTTGTGATGTGATCATGATGATGAAGACGATGAAGTTCTAACTCCTCTTCCAGAGTGAAGTTCTTGTTATTTGTCAAAAACGTGACAGAAACCAAGATGAAACATCAGTTCGTTCTATGTGGTTTATGTCTATGTGCAGCTGATACATGTTTACTCTCTGTCTGTGTGAAGTAACACAATTCCTCAACCTTCAGGCAGTGGATCCGAGTGTGACATTGAGAAAATGTAAGAAATACAGACACACACACACACACAGACAGGGAGAGAGAGAGAGAGAGAGAGAGAATAATCCAATATTAAGGATTTTATCCTGTTAGAAAAGTAGCCATTTTGCTGGAGGCGCTGGTGTGACACTGTTAAATGTCAAAGTCCATCTGAGCAAAACTTAAAAGAACACACACACACACACGCACACACACACACAGAGTGTTGTTTTCAGAAAACATCAGCGCAAACCCAGCTAGAAATGAGATAGAGCTGAGCCACATCCTCCTCTGTTGGTCTGAGAGTTTCCTTCAGATGAAGACGGTCTGACCGAACACTGAGATAACAGACATCAAACCCTGACTACTGTGTTCTTTGTCAGAAAGTCACAGAAAATGACCAATAAATACAAGCTGAAATAAACTAAATACTAACAATCCTAATGTTCATAGGCCATTAAGGCAGTTGCCTAGGGCGCCATCTGCTGGAGGGGATAACACTGCAAGCCCTCAAAAATAAAACAGCTATGAGATAAATAATAGAAATTGTTTGTTTGAAAACTGTTTTTCATGCTCTCTTTAATGTTGTGTTACGTAAAATGGATTTGCCCTTTTGACCCCCACTCTGTGAACCACCGGTTTGAAAGAATGGAAAAAAATAGTGTCCCTTCAGTAAATGACAAACATGAGCAGTGTGGACCTGTAGGATAACCGTCTCTCTCTCTCTCTGGCCTGTACTTTTGGTTGAACAAAGACAGTGAGTGGTTTAAACGGTGAACATGGTGAGCAAACAGTTCCAGGACTGGAGGGCTCTCTGCCAGCTTTGAGTGGGACATGATTGATTTTTGGGATGTGCTCCAGGCTCGGCAGACCTGGGGGTTTCACTTGTTATTCATGAGTTTATGCTGCTGCTGCTGCTGCTGCTGCTGCTGCTGACACCGTCACTTCTCCATCATCTCCACATCACGCTCTGCTCAGACACACTCTTCTCTGGTGATTTTTCACAGCTGTCTGGCAGCTCTCTCAGGTGGACTGGTCGTTGCTGGCCATTTGTCCAGGGAAGCACAGCTGATGAAGTTGTGTGGATTTAAATGTCACGTAACTGGAGGCGAATGTAGACGTTGTAAACTTTATGGGTTCAATGGTTTCATAAAGTTTTTCGAAAAGTCAGACATTGTTATTGTTGTTACAGTAACAAACCCATAGAGCTGTATGGATGTGAAGAACTGGACACAGCCAACTAAAAAAAACAACTCTATATTTGTTAAGAAAAATAATAATATTGATCTGTCGAGGTGAAAGAAGAAAAGAAAAACCAACTTCCTCTTAACATCGTTGGCTACAAACAGACTAAGACATCATTTGTCATCGACCTGAATGTTTTTCAAGTTGCTGAGTTACAAAACTACATTGACAAAAACCAGTGGTTTATATGATATTAGCTGTTAAAACTGTTAGCTTAGGTTAAACCTGTGAGGCAGGAAAGGATGCAATACGTTACTGCTGTCAATCATTTCCCCCCTGTGTCTCTCCACTGAGGCAGACAACTGTACACTGATTCAACTGTGTGTATTTAAGTTGGTTATTATATTATACAATCCTTTATATATACTGTATATATAATTTTTATATTTATAATTTATATACTGTATAATACTGCTTTACTTTATTGTTAATATTAACATTTTTATAGGAGGATCATTTTAAATTTAAATTCTAAATTTAAAACTGTAAAGTCCGTTGAGAAGGTTGTGTTTTGTGAATTTGGGCTGATTTCATGAATGACTGAGTTTCCTTCAAATATTTAAACACAAACAAGGCGTGAGAGCGACGCTCAGTCTTTCCACCAGAGGCTCTTTAAAGTGAGTTCTCTGTTACACAAGTTTAAATAATGGTCTGAACATACATGTGCTGCAGTTTTATTCACGGCACGCCACGTGAATGTGTAAGAAAAAAAATCTTTCTGAATTATTGATCATTCTCCTCCCCAGTGATGGAAAATTACTGAGATGTAAAGTCACTGACATGCAAACATGCACAGTTTGCTTCAGTGTGTTTGAGAGAATACACCATGGATTCACTAAAGAGAAGCCATAAATGATCTTAAATATAACCAACAGTTAGCAAGCATTTTAGCAAAAAACAATTGTGATTAAAAAAATATCAAATTTGGTAAAAATTCAAAAGTAAAAGTACAATTTAGCAAAAACTCAAGTAAGAAAAGTTTGTTAGAAAAAAAACATTAGTTAGTCACAAATTGGAAAGGCTATAACCAAAGCAGTTTCTACTGAAAACCAAGTGTAGTAAGATAAAATCGGTGAAGTTGTTTTTTCACTGTCCACACATTTTTCTACATCTTGATCTCAATCTGTCAGCAGCCGACGTGGCTGATGTCACTGGTAAATGAAGCTGAACATCATGTCACATGGTCCAGCCTTAATGTGGCTTCATAAGAAAGACATTAAAGAAGCGACGGCCTAATGTCCTGACGCTGGGAGACCATCCATCACAGAGAACGGGGGGAGCGAAGGCAGGAGTTTCACTCTGAACAAACGTAATTCTGCTCCACTCAACTGTGTCTGCGCCCAGTCTGGACATTCATAGGTCAGAAACGTCTCCACACTGGACCAGTGAGTTCAGCTGTAAGTCTGAGCTTCAAATATGTGGTACAGTCTCCACGACCGCCACCCAAATCACACTGCACCGTACCAGCCCCCCCTGAACCTTCCTGTGGGTGGTGAGTCCACTGGAAGGTACCAACCGCCCTAACCTGGATTCACTCTAACCCAGGAGGTGAACCCTGGGGTTCCACACCAATGACAGAGACACTGGCTCTGGGCCAAAGGGCCACATTAATGTACATTTTACAGTAAATGTGTCTTCAGCTGGTGAATAACACATCCCACTCCTCACTTGATTAACTGCCTGCTCATTTTATTGTGATGAACGCAGCCTTAAACATCCTGCCAGAAAAAAGTATTTTTGAATCCCCCTGAGACTGGAGTCAAACGACAGAGGAGTGGAGGGAACAGTCACACAAAGCCACGAAGGTAAAACGGTAAATGATCTGATTTCATTATTCCATTTGTCGACCCTAAAAGCTCTCGCCCACTCTTCTGTTAGAACAACAACAGAACGTTCTCTGTCTGCTCTCTCTCTCTCTCTCTCAACCTTTAATGATGCAATAATAATAAAAAACAATATTTATTTAGAAATCTGCTGTCAAACGGGAACACAACACCAAAGAAGTCAACAGTAAACACAGACTTTTTTCACATTGACCTTTTTTAAAAAGGTCTTTTTCTTGTTGCTGAAGTTCCTGGTACTCTTCAGTAGGAACAACACTTGGCAGGTCTGCTGATCCTGCACTGCCTCAGAGAATCTAACTCCTCTCCGTTCTATTTTCTTCCTTCATGTTTGATCTTTTCTGCTGAACGTCAGCTTCTACTGCTCTTTTTTCTTTTTCTTAGCAACGCCTGAAGCTGTTTCACCTCGCAGAGACTTTCCCAGAGAGAGTGAGGAGAGAAATCCAGGAGGAGGAACCACAGACCACAGAGTGAGAACCTGACCCATTCTAACGTTCACCACCCAGAACGAACATTTAAATGGAGGAATAAGTGAGAGGAGGCGTGAGAATTAGAGAAGGAGCAGCAGAGGAACATGGTTTTATCTATTTGTTTATTGATGTTTGATCGTGTGTCCCTAGCGCTGATAAATGACAGAGATTTGTTCTCTTCCAGTAAAACCCTCAGGCCACACACACACGCACACACGCACACACAGATTACTGAACACAGAGTCTGTATCCTCGGTTTGGAAATGTAATGAAATCATGTACAATTACACTCTTTTCTTCAATAACATTAGAGATAATTGATTCAGCCACTTTGTCGGGACTTCCTCGGTTTTGTTGTCTGTGCAGCTGCGACCCTACAAACACACAGATGCACAAATAAAAAGGTCAGTCTCCTCCGTCCTGAAGCCCACGTCCCACTGTCCACGCAGTCTTTTGAATATTTGATCTGTGAGGTGAGAAGGTATCCTCAAAAATAGGTGCAGGTGTCCATGGAGTCAGAGATCAGATCAGATGGAGATAATAGATCAATACGGAGGAACAGGAAGTGATAACAATTACAACAAAATGGTTCAGGAAATGCCCTGGAAACATATTTATCCAGGCTCAACGTAGTCTTTGCCTAAAACAATATTTTCTCCTCTCCTCCATGACGACCTCTAGCACAGGAAACTCCGTGAATATTAATACCACACCATCAACGGTTGGATTTTGGTTTGTCCCAGGAGTCTGGCTCAGTTCTAAAAACACTGAACAGAATTCATTCATTCATTCAATCCTTTCCAGGGTGCCAGGGGCAGGGGTTAAATCCTTCCAATCTGCATGTTTTGGTCAGTGGAAGGATAAGACACACAGGGAGAACAGGAGAACTCCAGCAGTTCTTAAACCTGTGTCCTTGCTGTGAGGCAGGAGCACTGAACACTTGTTGACTATGCTGATTCAACACAAGAAAAGTATATGATGAGGTGGTACATGATATACTGTTAGAATTCAAATGGGGAGAGGAAGCTATACATGGACCTGTTAGCTGTTAGTAAGTTAGCTTGCAACAGAAAATACAAACAGAAAAAAAAAAGCCTCAGCGTATATAGATGATAAAGATGAGGACACTGATTGGTTTGGAGTTACTATGAGACTGCTTCATGTTAAGGGTAGGGAGGCTGTTAGCTTCATTACTGGACAGTTCTCTATTCCCTTGTAGGGTCACATATAAAAACAATGAATCATTTTCTCTTCTGACTAAAAAACAACACACACAGGAAAACATGAAGGTTAATTCAAGGCTTGTTAATCAATCGATCGTTCATCATGTGATCCTTCACTATCCAGTCGGTTTGCTTGTGCTTGACCTAAAGTTCCCAGGATGTCCAACAGAGGGCAGTATTCGCTCCTGCTTCATTGTTTTAGATGTTTTAAGGTGGTTTTAGATCATCCTACTGTACAGGATCCTGCACCTGTAGACCCTGTCACTGACCCTGACCCTGACCAGATGGTCCTCACTGATCTACAGCAGATGACACATGGTACTGAGTACCATCAGTGGTCGATCGACTGATGGCCTCTGACACGTCATGAATGTACCAACAGGAGGCAGCAGTCTGTCTGAGAGCAGGAGCTCAGATGTTTATGGAGGTGGTTCAGGAGGATGTTCCTGCTCAGATATACACTTTATAAATACACATAGAACCGATTTGAAGAAGTCATTAAAAACCGTCCAGAATAAGTTCAACACATCAAAATAAGCCGAGCTGCTCTAGACGACAGTACCGTTGGTGTCTCTGCACAGAATCCTTTTGAAGGCCTTTCTGAAGTCCTTGTTGAAGATGGTGTAAATGACAGGGTTGAGGCAGGAGTTGCAGTAGCCAATCCAAAAAAAGAACTTAAAAAGAGGGTCGGGAATAGCACATGTTTGTGGACAAACCGCCTTAAGGGAGTAAGAGAGGAAGAAGGGAAACCAGCAGATCACAAAGACTCCCATCACCACCGCCAAGACAAAGGTGAACCTCTTCTCCCTGTTGACCAAGGCCTTTCGGCGGGAAACAGCAACTCCCTGAATGGTCGGTGTTCCTTCAACAACCAGTTTGGTTCCAGATGACGTGATCATGGTGCCTTTGTACCTGCTGCTCAGGTTCAAAGCCTGATCTTTGAACTCTTTGCCTTGGGGTAGTTTTTGCTGTTCAGTTTTGCGCTTCTGTTCGGAGTGGTCTAATCTGAGGACACCAATGTCCACCTCAGAGCCGGAGCTGGAGGTGTTGTCCTTTACATTATCAGGACATGCTTGAGAGTCTTTGCTCTGAGCGTGTGTGAAAATCTGTACGTCCTCATGCGAGACTGAAGACTCAGACTTTAGAGCCGAGGTGGTACAGGACTGAGGATTGCGGAACTTTCTGTCCTCACTAATGAAGCCCTCCAGTGGTTTGTGAAGTGAGGATGTGGTGGAATCTGAACCAGACATTTTGCTTGTGTGTTGCTCCTGCTGGTTGGAGATTGCACCTACTCTATCCCGGTGGTTTGTTGTCTTCTCAGACAGCTTTGTCACAGGCACGTTGATGACCAGGTTGCTGTTTCCTGCTGCCATAGCTTTTGGTTTCTGTCCAGGTGAACATCTGGTGTGCTGCTTAGCGATCTGATAAATCCTCACGTAAACCAGGATCATTATCACACAGGGGACAAAGAAGGAACCAATGGTGGAGTAGAGGATGTACCAGTGTTCGTTGTTCAGTTCACAAACCTCTTCCCCTCCTTCACTCTTATCCAGGGTGAGAAGAGGAGGGAAGGAGATGACGGCAGAGATCAGCCAGACCACGATGATGCCGGTCTTGATGCGTGTCGGGGTACGAATGGTGCGATAGGACACAGGCCGTGAGATAGACAGGTAGCGGTCCAGAGCTATTGCACAAAGATGGACAATGGAGGAGGTGCAGAAGAGAACGTCCAGAGCCAGGTAGATTTCACACCAAATGGAGCTGAAAGCCCAGTAACCCTGCAATTCATTGGCCAAAGAAAACGGGATGATGAGAGTGGCCACTAAAATATCTGCTGCAGCCAGGGACACCAGGAAAAGGTTCTGTGGACCCTTCAGGGACCGAGATGTCAGGACCGCTATGATGACCAGGATGTTGCCAACAATGGTCACAACCATCATGAAGGTGATGGCAACTGCAAAGACCACGGTGGCCTGAAGGGTGTAGGGCGAGATCCAGTTGTAGGGTTTAGTGCTGGAGGTGAAGCTGGAGCTCCTGTTGGGAGGTCCACTCAGTTCAGCCGAGGAGAGAACATCTGGAGGAGCAGAGGCCATGCTAGAAAGGAGATTGTGGGGGGGGGTTGTTGTCTTGCTTGTCTCTGGTATGAGGCTTTAGTGCTGTTAGGTCAAAGTGAGACAATGTGACGTTCACACCACCAAGGAGATCTGCAGGATGGAGACACATTTAAAGACAGTGTTGTCAAGTAATGTTCAACCACAGATTCAGGAACATTTACAATTACAAAAAAAAAACAAAACACTTTTTTATACTCGTTTTTGCTGCTGTGTTTTCTAATCGTCCTTTTTCTCCCTCAAATAAATATTGATTGTTTCTCACTGGACTTGTTTATCTCCATCCAAATATTCATTAGTCCGTCAGTGTGTTAGAATCTTAAATTTGCAATTTCAACTACAGAAGGTTACAGTATATATTTTTTTAATTTTCATCTAGTGATGCTGAGTCAAACAAGAAAGACAGGAAACAAATATTTCATTAATTTCCGCATCTCATCGAGTTGTCACAAATGACCTTTAATGGAAAAAATCTGAAAATCATATTGTTAAACCACTAATTACTAAACTCCAACTGTCCTCTGATGAGTTAATATGTAATGTTAGTTTTTAAACACATTTTAAATCATTGTACTATCTGGTTATTACTTGGTTTAAGACAATACAATCAAACACAGAGACAGAAAATCCCCCTGTTCACTTACTGCGATATGAAGAGATCCATCGTCAACAGTTCTGCACCTTTGATTTCCTTTTCACAAAAAAATAAAAAGAAGAGTTTAAGTGTCCTGAGATGCTGAAGAAAAAGATGGGAAAAGGGAAAACCCTGCAGATTCAGGATTTGAACAAAGACAGGCTGTGGGAAAAAAAAAATCAGTTTGTGATCCTCCTGACGGCTGAGGAAGAAGTCAGTCCACAGAGAGAGAGAAAGAGAGAGAGAGGGAGGACGGAAGGGAGGGAGAGATGATGATGATGAAGATCATGATCATGGTGATGTGTCATTTAATGAAGACAACCAGACACCAATAATCCTACACAACTGATCGTGTGGTGATTGGGCAGTGACTTTTATTTTATTTTATTTTTATTTGACTTCCTCATCAGTCATCAGATCACCTCTAACCACATTCTGCTTTTCACATCAACATTCTCACTTTCACCAGAGCCTCAGAGGTAAAGTTCTGCCTCATTACGTCCAGGGTTCACTCTTCACTAAGTTAAGTGATCTTTAGAAAATAAGTAACTAGACCATAAACCTGCAATACCGCAAGCTTACGCCCATGTACGCGCGTACTTTTTACTTTCTGGTATATTCTACCATCTAGTGGCCGACATTGAAAAAAGTAATTCTGTTTCTGAGAAAAACATAGGAGACAGATATTAAGTCACAAATTAGTACCACATTTTGATTTGACAATACCAGAGTTTAAACTGTGTGTACCGGGTGACGTTAGAGCGCTGCAGGGAGTTGGAAAGACCAACATGTAAATGAGGTAATTTAAAGGAGTAAATGGATGCGTTTGTTTACATAAACAGAGAGTGTACGACATTAACTATGTACGGTCTGGACTTTAAAACAGAAATATATGATACATTTTTATACAAGAAAACTACAACGGATGGTTTATGCTCGATGTCCAGTACACGTGGAACCTCTTGCCGTCCTCCTGGTGAACACTTGCGCCTGTACCGTAGGACATGAAACGAAGCAGTACCACTGGAAATCGTGGGGGCAGTGTTGCGCGTTATAGCTCGCGTGCGCTCATCAAAAGTACAGCGATAAAGGCAATGACAGAACCGCAGTAGATACGGTGGGACCGGAGAAGAAGAGTACAGTAATCCGTCCACACTCTCTTCGTACTTAATGTCCACACAGAGACCACCACTGTCTGCTACTGCGTCTCTGTTTGGACCTCTGTCTGAGCAGCAACATCATATCACCACCTCCTCCACCGTCACCATGTTGGTTATTGTCCGAGAAACTGACGTCAGCCTGGAAATTAATCTTGACCTCAACACCGTCCCTTGTGGAGGTATAGCTGAACAACCATTGGGCAAACGTAAGGCATACATGGGAGTATGTGGCAGTGATTACGTGTTTAGTTCAGTCAGTATAAACTTTAACGAAAGAACGTTGTATTTTGTGATTTAAAGAGCAGATTACTGTTGTCATCATATACCATATTCTCCCAAAACAAAAACTAGTACATTCATGTTTATTTTTAACGTTGTTTGTTTTTTAATATAAATTTACATCTGAATATTTTGTCTCAGTAAATACATGTAGTCTCCAAACTTTTCCAATGATTACGTGATTCGGGGATAATGGAGAAAAAGTTACCTTTATTTCCTTCAGAATATTTATTTCCGTTTAGGTTTACATGGAATCACACTGAGTTACTTACAAAGTGTGAGTGTTTATTGATTTTATATATATGAGGTTTATATATATCCATTTGTTGGTCTTGTGCTATGTCCGTCAAACCCAGAAATCTCATAGATTTAAGGATTGTTATTTGAAAACAAGTGTCTGAACAGAGGGCAGAGCTAAATCAGCTCCACGTAATTGGCAGGAAAGAGGCCGTAGTGTCCAGTGGGTCCGTAGCCCCTCCACCAGCCCTCGTCCACCATCTCTATTCCATTTATGATGTCGTCTGGGTCAAAGGAGATCTCAGTGTCATCAGCTGTGAAGATGTCAGACCTCATTAGTCAGTGTTTTGATATTTAAAAATCGCTAAAATTTAAAAAAAAATCTGACTAATGACAACAAATCCAAGATTTCCTAGAAATTCAAATCAAAGGCAACAAGCACCTGACCCAATGCACAAAATCGTACCAACAAGATTATTTGCTGATGCTGCAGTCTTTTTTGGGCTAACATTTAGTTTAAATATGTTTTAACAGTAATAACATTTTGCCTGACTATTATGAATTTATATATCGTTGTATTTGCAGACATGGTTAGAATTAGAATTCAAGTCAGATTAGATTTTTTGTTTAAGTTTTAATGAGACACATGGATAATAGTTATGGTCAGAGTGAGGGGGCTAGGCTAGTTTATGTTTAAGTGAGGTAATCACAAACAACATAAAGCATGTGTGTGTGTCTGTGTGGGGGTGTGTGTGTGTGTGTGTGCACATACCGGCCAAGTAGTCGTACAGAGCTCTGGCTCTGACATCCTGTCCATTTGTATCTTCAGGCTTTTGATGTAAAGGTGATAAAACAAAGTATTTCATAAAGGTTTCAGTGAAAGGTCAGAGGTCAAGTAACCAAGATCTTAGATCATAGTTGACTCACTGTTTGATAGTGCTGAACATTTTCATACAGATCCTCTCCTGTCATGGATGGATTATCTGCTGTCCCTGCCTCTTCATACAGATCCTCTTCTCCAAACGAGTCTGTGATTGGACCAGAGTCAAATTTAAAGGTCATTGTAAATGTACAAACCTGAATTGCTGTGTTAATCTGATTCATCCTGGTCGAAATGGATGCATCTTTTTTTTTTAAAAAAAAAAGCTTTAAAATTGACTTTTGTTTTGGCAGAAAATGTGCACAAATCTGGACATATTTTTAAATTGTCTTCAGGAAATTCCTTTTATCTTCATAGGACAGGTGGAATAAATCTTAACTAAAAGCCTTTAAATGTAGCCTTATCTGGACCACAAACGCTGGATCCAAAGTTTTTTGGGAATCTGAGGGATGGAAGCAAAACTACCACAAAACAGTCTGATCTGCATTGGATCATTTGTTTGTTTGTTTTTTATACTTGGATGAAACTATGTCAGATGAAGAATCAAACCTGGAGTGGGTTCATCAGCATCGTCATCAAACTCATCAGACCACTCTTCCTCTGCTTCTGTGAACAACAGAAAAATCACACATCTGTTTGGACCGGGTCAACTTTTGTGTTTTTGGGTGACTTGATGTTTAAATAATCTTCACAGGAAACGTGTGTTTGGCGATAGGGGGCCGTGCTAACAGACTGGGATAAATCTGTAAACCATTTTTGGAGAGTGTGTGTTTGGGTCTGACCGTGGTGGTGGGCCGCTGGTGTTTGGATCTCTGGTTCTGGTGTGATAGAGACGGCAGCAGTAGCTGGTGAGTCCGGCAGCAGTGGGGAGACGGGGCTAACAGCAGAGCTCTTGAATGAGTAATTATGTTCTGCTGGAGTTTGTCTCTCTGAGGATTTCTGAGACTGAAATGGATTCCTCAGCTTTCCTGAAAGAAGAACAGAAAAAAATCATTAGTTCTGTCGATTGCTGTTGTCTTTTTTGGTCGCATTTGTTAGCCTACAGGCTTGCATATATATATATTTTTTTACCAGGTCTGCGTGAAGCAGGGGTCGATTTGTCATCACTGGCCTCAAAGCTCTGTTCCCTCTTCTTGAAAATGTCTCGTGGATTAAATGATCTCTGAGAAATCAGAGATTTGGCCTCCTGTGGATAGACAGTCAAGAGTTCTTCAAAAACTAAAAGGCATGAGTCTCTTTACAGTCTCACTAAAATTTAAAATCTGCCCAGACTTGGTCATCTACTCAGATGCCACCAAACAGGTGACAATGTGGAGGAGGCACACAAGAGGAGGCAGGTGAAATATCAAGACTGGTTGAGGAGTGCAGAGGCCACTGTTGGCGAGCTCACAGGTGTGCTGCCAGTTTGTGGGGCATTTTAAAACCTAGAAAAAAATGTTTACAATTCTTTCATCACACCATGTCAGTCATGTCTGTGTTTTTACTCACATTAGCTTTTTGCACTGACGGAGCAGAGTTGATTCCTGTTTTCTTGACTTCTTTGGCCTGCTGGTTCTGAGACAGACACGTGAAGATGGTGACGATGTTGATATCAGATATAAATGGTTGTTTTGTAAATATCTGCAGTCACGCCACTAGATGCCACTAAATCCTACATACTGGTCTGATGCAGTGTACTAGCTCTCACCAGTCGTTGTTGCTCAATCTCTCTTTCCTCCTCTTCCCTTTGTTTCTGATAAATCCTGAAATCGACACATTTGAGGCTGTAGGTGTTAGAACTCATCTGCGTTCATTTGGTCAAACTTTTTTTTTCTGGTTTCACTCTCACCTGTCCTGTTCAATCCTCTCAGCTCTCTCCTTAGCTCTCCTCTCCCTCTCCTTCGTCATCTTCTCCTCTATCTCCCTCCTCTCCATCTCCACCTTTTCCCTCTCCTGCTCCACTCGTCTCATCTCCTCCTGCCGACGTAACTCTTCTTCTTGCTGAGGAAGAAAAAGAAAGTTCTGATATTCCTGAATTTACCTCTAGATTTAAATAAGAAGACGGGTCACATTGATGATTATCATGAATTAACACAGCGCGATACCAAGAGTAACAGTTTGCTAAAAAAGTTAAAAAACCCTCAAATATTAATAAATCATACTAGACATAAACTTCAACCACAGTAGTTATTGTGTAACTCCCAGGTTAGTTATGACGCAAGAATCTTTTCCAGGTTTTTCAGAGTTAAGTGCGACTATGGCTCTGGTGTAGAAACTGTTTTTTTACCTACGTCCTAGTTTTCATTGACCTCAAACACCTGCCTGAGGGCAATAGGTCAAACAGCATGTGGTCCGGATGAAATTAATCTCTGAGAATACTGTGTCTTTTTGAGACAACAAGAACTGTGTATGAAGAGGGCAGCCTGTTGCATTGTATTTTGATTATATGTTAAGCACATGACAACCTCTGACAGGGGACAAACCTGTGTTTGAACCCAGAAGTCGTCTTTATTGGTTTGTTGAATTTCCTCCATAGCGTTGACTTTACGATACACTGACCCCTGGAGGTGAAGAAGAAGAAGACAACCCTCATTAAGAAAACAAAAATCTTTTTTTTGTAAGTCTAAGAAAACTGGTTAAAGGAACTGGAATGTTAGTGGAATGCTGAATTGAACAACCACGTTTTATATATAAAACCGGACCTAGAGAGTCTTAAGTCCGGTCTAAGATGATTTAAGGTCACTTGATGTCACTGACCCAGAACAAGAACTCACCGGTCGCTGTTTCTCCCTCTCGGTTTCCTTCATCCTCTTCTCTCTCTCCTTCGCCTCCCTCTCGTCGGTCTCCCTTCTCTCCTGCTCCAACCTCTGTCTCTCCAGCTCCAATTGTTTCATCTCCTCCTGACG